ATTTAAGTTTGATTGCTAGTTGCCTGATTTTGTTAGCATCAAATCTTAAACTCAAGGTATGATTAATAGCGGTCCTGGTCTATACACCAAAGCGTGAAAAGCTGACGCGTCATTGGACACTCCTCCACAGGCCGGTTAAGGAGTGCTGAGTTAGTGTTAAGAAGCTTTAAGGAGTAATCATTATGTTTTGTGATTTCGAGTATACAGGGAACCGGAGAATGGAGTTAGTAGTAGAGGGGTGGGATTTCAGGGTTTTCAGCCACATTTTGTTTTACATGTTGCTCATTGCGCTAAGAAAATTTATTTTCAATTACAATCAGTTCTTATTATTCGAAGAAAATTATTAAATGCAACTAAGACAAACCCAATCAGTTTGTAGCATCAGTTAAGACTTAAAGTTTCAATCTAATTCTAAACGTCGTTGTAATTACCTTCAAGTTCATCTTTTTATGAATGTTTATGATGATGTTAATGTTCTCTACTTGAAATTGGTTGATAGTGAATATCAACTGGAACTAGTATCACAGTCGCATTTTTCCTTGTCAAGCGTTGTTTGTGAAGCTGCTGTTTCAAAATTCAAATCATTGTTTACTTTATGATTGCTTTGATAATTTAGGCCACTTCGGCAGAAGATCAAGAATCGAGAAGTGAAACGCAAAGGGAGAAACGAAGAGAAAACAGTGATCATCATGATCATCACCTCCAGAAAAATGACAAGTGTGATCCATCTCTCCATTATTATGAAAGGCCTGTTTACAATGTTGAAGTTGCCAGCACCAAAAACTCTAAAAACGGATCAGCGTCTCAAAAGGATAGCAATTTGGAAAGTAGGCAAAAAGTGAATTTGGGAGCATCTAAAACAAAACACGAACCAGTTTATGAAGTCATCGACCCAGAGATTATCTTGGCAGAGAGTGGAGCGGAACCGAACAAGATAACTCAGCGAGACTGTAATGAGAATAGGAGACTTCCAGAAAAGTTAGAAGATGAAAGAATACAAGGACATGGCACTCCTTCACAGAGGAATTCGTTTAAGTCGAAGGATCGTACATCACAAGTAGCGTCTCGCGTTCGAGATGAAGGGCCAGGCGAAGAAATTGGTAACCAACGTTTCTCTAATGTTGCTGCTAGTATTGACCCGACTTTCCGGGGTGACGTAAAAGAAGAAGCACCCGGAGCAGATGACCGGATATGGGTCATAGGGGATAGCGGAATTCGGGTGTCTTCTAATTCGAAGCCAGAACCACTCATTCAGAATACGAGAAGAAAACAGTCGAAAGATAAGTCAGCCAAAGACAAAGAGAAATGTAAACAGCAATGATTTATAATTAGATGTTTAATGTTGAAGAAAATTTCAATTATAGTTTTCTAGTAGTCGAACAAAAACCCAGAAAAACCAAATCCACAGGTCAATAACTTTATATTCCTACTACGGGTGACATAAGCAACGACCTCTTAGCGTTATATCGAGGCTACTCAAAAAAGGCCGCGATGCTCTTTTCTTATATCATTGCATGTTATAGATTCTCTTATTAGCTTTTAGATATATTAGCATTTAATCGAGTTTGTGTATATTTTTCTTATAAGGATGTTTCAGTTGTCACGTATAACTTAGATAAGTAGAGTAATTAGCTTCCTGTTGGTAAGGTTGATAGTTCAAGAATTAGTAGCATTTAATAACTGCTTTAGGGAATAGTAATCTGTGACTTTGCTGTTATGGAAAACTGAAAAACAATGGTACATTTAAAGGGTTTATTAGAAACAATAATCGTTTTAACGCAAATTAAATCCTTTGAATGGACAAGTGTAAATTTGTCCCATACAATTACGTTGCTATTATGCTGAATCCTGCACCTATTGGCTGACGTCATATTTACCATACTGTTTCACAAAATCACATGTGAGAAAGTTTCAACACAATATTGCCCACAAATGTATTTTTTTCAAACTTATAGGAGTTTGTGTAATTTGTCCCTCGTTAGTCGACAAAGTTCCAATTGCAACTTATTTTAGCGCACTTTATGTTCGGTTTGGATGCAAGTCAATGGAGGGATTGTAGATATGTGTGTATTTTTCGCCCTATATAGTTTTTGCACTTTATCTCAACCAGATAGGTAACCTTTTACACTATTTGGTCAATCCGTTATTGCACTGCGTTTAAACAAAACTAATCGTGTAGCTCATATTTAAAACATTGTTAAACTTTCACTTTTAAAGATAGCAAAAAACCAAGCTATTGCTGTAAAAACATTGAAAAATTAGGTATAAGTGTTTGTTTTGCTTTGTACCTGAAAGTGAATGTGTATGGTATACAAAACTAAAATGGCTTGAATGCAAATTTTATAAATCTTTTTTTTGCGTTTTTGTCTTCATGATTTATGCTCATTGCTTTCTCTTCAAGCCAAACAAAGGCTTAAGTATCTTTCTGATAAACACTTCAGATCTTACTGACACATCGACTACATAGAGCAGTGCAAAATGATTTTTACCAAACGCTCGTGGAAGCAATGATCAAAAATTCTCGTGGCAATTCCACCACCTCTTATTTCTAGATATAGTATTCTGCATTGTCTTTGCATCCTTGCAGCAACAAATTGTCATTTTATGCTTAAACGTTACCCAGTAGTTTCAGCATTGTAACTATCTAAAGAAAGACTTTTGCTACGTTTTTTGTAGAGAAATTATCGGAACAAAGCCCTTTTGCACGGTATACCTTATGTCGTAGATCATTGAGCCATAGAAGGTCAACATTATAATGTACGGTTTTCTATTTTCATTCTTTGGTACAAACTCTCTAGCTTTCATTAAGGAAATTCAGTTCAGTCTATTTTAAGGTAGTCATTGTTTGGGCATTTTATTTAGTGCATTCCCCTCTGCCATTTGCTGATATGTGCTTCTGTGTCTGCCTCTCCTGCTTGTTCTTCTTCGATTTGCTCTTGTTGCTGTCGGCAATTTGCGTGCACTGATGGTATTGACAATACTATGTTTGTTTACTTTCTTCAATGGGTTTTTCTCTTTCCTCACTCTTGATTACTCTCTTACCCATTCTTCGGTTTGTTCACTGTTGTGTCCATTTTAATGGTACAACTCTTCTTCACAGCCACATTTTAAACACCCAACAAAAGTTAATCGAGCTAAAACGTTATGGTTGAATATTCCACATTATTTAGCAGGAATGAAAAATTTAACATTCAGAAGTTATTGGTAATCCTTCATCGATTCTGTGTTTTGCAAAATTACGTAAGAAAATTCAGATTTTCAAAAGCATGGAAGCCAGCTTTCAACGTTGAAGAGCAACGCAGCCTCACCTTGAACCATTATCCTGGTAGAGGCTGCACCACCGCGACAGAAATGGCTGCCAACCTCATGTTGTCGTTGTGATATTGAAGCATGATTAATCCGCAATTTACATGTAATCATCAGAAGTCAGAGCAGGAGACAAAGTCACTATTGTTCTTGAAAGAATAATTTATCCGTTTCAGTGAATCTAGAGTGCTGTTTCAACAGATTTTTGTGTTTTCGATTGACTCTTTTTTCGATTTGAGAACAACAACACAGACAGACTACGACTTGTCAATTGTCCTGTATCAATTTGTCGGCATGGTAGTCACTTGTGACATTCAAAATATTGATGACATAGAGGATATTACAAAGACTTTAAACATAGAAGGACCTGTAAGGGAAAATGGCAGGAAGTATGTACCTCCGAAGGCAAAGAGGCTCGGGAAAGTTACTAAATCACTGCAGAAAGACACACGTCCGGTAGCAGACAGTATCATTCCGGGAACGCAAAAGATATATGTCAAAACATGGGGATGTTCTCATAATAACAGTGACAGCGAATATATGGCTGGACAGTTAGCCAGTTTTGGATACAAAATCACAGGTATTGGTAACACGAAACAAACCTGATTTAAAACTGTTGCACTACTGTTTTGATAAGTTCTTCCCAGACTTGGAAAGCTGAGAAGTGCTCACACATACTTTCTTTGCTGGATTCTAAGCAAATAACAGTTGATCCGTAGCTAATTTACATTCTTTGTGGTTAGAAAAGGGCCTCTGTTTCTTCAATTTTAAATATAGTTAATAAACTAGTAGCACAACACTGTATTAGAAACAGAGCCTAATAGTTAAGTTCAGCTCTGTTCAGTTCAGATAGATACTAAGCAATCTGTTGCAGACGTTTTGGCAGGATGCGCTAAAGTGTGTAGGTATACACCAAGACCTTGTCATATGAGCAAGGACCTTATCACTTGTGTCAGGTCCTAGGTTTCCCCAAACATTTATATTCCTTTAAGTAAAGTCCTTTGTTCTAGAATTGGAGAGGCTGAATAGATACACTTAGTGAGCAAAAGTATTGCACAGGTTTGACAATTCAGTAATGGTGACCGCGTTGTCAACAACAAAGCGATCAAAATTCAAACCACTTTTGTGAAGCCATGAGTCTTTTTATGGTTAAAATCTAATCAAACCAAACTTCAAACCATTGACAACACTTTTAATTTAGAAATTGAAAAAAGGTACATTCTAAAAAATAAAATTTTTTAACTTTTTATTGGACAGTCTCCCAGCTTTCAAACCTTTATGAGACTTCCTAGAAGTTTGTTAAAAAGTTTTGTAACAGGTACTGTTAATCGAACATGACAAGTTCAGAAAAATTTTTTTTGCAAGATGACATTTAGGGTGTTGAAGTACCAAGTTGATCATAAATGGCCTTGTATTTGGTGGAAAGTGGCATGTTTTAAGCCATTTTATTAAGCCTACTTATTTACAGCTATTGAGGCACTTTAGTGAATCTGTTTATCGCAGGAATTTTGGTATTATCATTTAATGAGAGGGCGAAATGTTGTTTTACACAATTTGCAGCAATATTTGTTCCCATTACAAAATGGAAATCGGTTGGAAAAGATAGACTTCATGATTTGAGATGCATTTTATGGATTGAATTTTGCTGCAATATATCACAAAGCGACCGCTGCGATTAGGCCCATTGTGGCTTCAAAAAATTCCTACCAAAACATTTAGCTGATTCTCCAACAAAAGTGAGGAAAATGAGCAGATCTAGACACCCAAGCATAAAGTAAGTACCCCCTAGTTCATTGTAACAAGATATCACAAATTAGTGCAAAGATGAACTTTTTATTGCAAATGTTTCACAGGTAATTCAATCATCATGGCTCAATTTTTGTGTTTTTGCGACATGTCGATATTGTTTAGAAATAGGCAAAAATCAAGAATATTGAACATGCGTTTACTATTTTCACCATCAAACCTTGATAAATTCTCCAACATAATCCAGTTAAAAAGTCAACTTATAACGTTTATGAAACTTACTATGGTCACTTGAATTTTGGTTTGCTAAACTTTTTTGCTGCAGTGCGGCCATTTCTGTCTCAGCCTGTGTAATACTTTTGCTCACCAAGTGTACATATGGCTCTCTCCAGAACAATATTTGAAATGTTAGGACTTCAGGGTTTCTGAATTTAAAATGCTCAACCGTCCTGATTGAAAAGGTCTCAATAAACCACATCTAAGCCAGCCTCTGAAAGAGAAATTGAGTGAAATTCAGAAAAAATCTGAAATAGAATTAACTGAAATTCAAACCAAGTTTTATAAAATTACTTTTTAGAGGATTCAGATGATGCAGATCTCTGGCTTTTGAATAGCTGTACTGTCAAAAACCCATCTCAAGACAGCTTTCATAATGCCATTGATAAAGGAAGAGAACTTGGTAAATATGTTGTAGTTGCTGGATGTGTTCCTCAGGGGCAGCCTAGAAATGAATTTGTTAAAGGTCTCAGTGTTGTTGGGGTGAGTTTCTTAGTTAATTTCTGCTTGCCAAAAACCACTTTTGAAACATATTTTTGCTATTTAATCTGTTCATTGAGAACTGTCTATGATTGCAATTTGCTTTCATATAATTCAAAGAGTCTTCACAGGAAAAATAAAGTGACTAGATCAGTCCTTGTAAAATGAGGCATGCCCCACACACACCCAAATTGTCCAAAACATGCAAATCATTTCACTTGCAAAACAAAGAATTTGCTTTATAATTTTATCATTTTACAAGGCGTTGTCAAAGTATAGCTGTATATGGAATTTCACTGTGTCATTTAGTAGTTGTGACAAGATTGGTTAGCTGTTATTGAACCAGAGGGAATAAATCTGCAATCAACACCTGGTGCTTCATTAACAGTTGAAAGTTGATGATTTAATTTTTTGATACAAGAGCTGTCTGCACTGTCCACTTGATTGCACTGTTCTTCGGTGATCGTGGCAAAAGTAAACAAAATGGAGCTGGCAACATTTTTTGGTTGGAGAAAGAACAGAATTATCAGTTACATGTTGGATGTTACAAAGATGATGCAAAATCAAAGATTTTTGTGAATTTAATTTGGTGCAAAGTGTGAGCAAGGAACAATGACTGAGTTTAATGAGGGGCTATTTGCTCAGAGTGCGTGATTTGCATCAGGACTTGATTTTGTCAATGGAACCAATGTTGTGACAAACCACCAGGTTAGTCTAATCTTTCTCAAAAAGTTTTCTTTTTTATTGTTTTTTTTGCCTATTGTAGAATTTTTGCAAGGTCAAGTGGTCAATGCTATTTGGTCCAGCTAAAACAAAGTCACTCTGAAGTCAATGAAATAAAGAATGGATCACAATGAAATAGTTGGTTCTGAATTTATTCAGGTCATCATTCCTTTTTGTTATATTGTTTCCTGTCGATGATGGAGATTGTCTGGTAATCCGTTTTTTTCTTCTTCAGGTAACACGCCATTTAGAAACTACTAGTTTCCAGTTTGCAGTAGAGATGGTAAAACTGAAGCCAGCTGATGTTTGAAATTTGTTGCCAACTGGAACTGTATATTTGCTAACAATTCATGGACAGCAAAATATGCAATGCTGGCATTAGCAAGTGAAGCATCGTATGCTAGGATGATGAGAACTACATACGAATTGGCTCTGAACCCAACAATACCAATAAACCAATTCAAACATAGGTGAAGGTGCAGAGAATGAACCCTCATCGCTCTCGTCATTGTTCAGTTTAAAGAGGTGGTTTGACCCAAAGTAATGGAACAAGCACAAGGATAATAGGGTTTCGGAGATTACTGCCTTGACAAAGATTTACGAAATCCCTGCGACAAAGTTTGATGTTTTCAAAGCTGTACAATACTGTGCTTTTAGAAAGAAGCAAGAAAGCTGTAACAAAATATCCTTTGTTGCAGTGCAGATGAGTACACACCCTGTGTATTTTGGCAAAGATAATGATTGCGATTACTGGTGCAAATTCTTCAATAGAGAGAGCATTCAATATTCTAAGGATGTTAATGTCGATAGAAGACTACAAATGTCGCATAGTGTTATTGAGATGCGACTTCATTTTGTAATATGTCATGATATATGAACTGAATGAGAAAGAGAAAATATCTTGAAAAGGGCAACGGAGCACTTACTAAGAGCAGAAAACGAAAGCTAAGGTTGGTAACGGCATGGCAACGTTATATCGAAGAAACCTAAGCTAGAGAAGAAACCTAAGTAGGAAACTAATAAAACCTCTGACGAAGAAGAAAGTGACGGTGACTTAACTGTTTTTGAATTATTTTAAATCGTTTTCAATCCTTTTTAAAATTAAGAACTGTAAAAACTTGTTTTTGAGTTTTTTTAAACTTGTTTTTAAGAACAAAGAAAGTGTGTTCATTTCTACCTTTTGCGTCATTTCTCTACTCATTGCTTCTCATTTGATTGTTCGCTAAATTCCATATTTTTGCAAAAGTAACACCGATCAAACTGTTTTTCATGAATATCTGCTACGTTTGCGTTGATACGGAAGTCAGTGATGCAGCATGGCAATTTTAGTGGAGTTTTTTCAAACCAGATATGTTTTAATGATTACAAAAAGATTCTATAGTTGCTTTCTTGAAAATTCATTTACTAGTTAAATTTAACAACTTCAAAGAAGAGCAATAACAGGTTCTCCATCAATTTCCTTAATTTCTGTTCAGTTTAAAACACAGAAGGTCTCCTTGAAAGCAGCACCCTTCTTGACAACAGGAATGAAGAACGACAGATGAAAAGCCAACATTTCAAGACATACTAAAGTTTTCCAACTAAGATTTTTTATCTGGTATTGGCATTCCTTAATTTCTGAGTTCTTGTGTCAAGTAGCACAACCCTTTCAACATAAGAAACTTTCATCTTGAGAAAACGACCTCCTCGGTGTTGCAGATCTAAAAAACAACTTAAACACACGATTCTGCCAGTAGATAGCGTTGACAAGGAAACACAGATTGTACTAAAAACTATGATAACAACATGTTACGGTATGACGTAATGACAGGGCTATGTCGCCATTCAATCTAGCATTTTTAGAATCGATGCTCGTAATTATGCAAAAAGGCCTATTGTGTAGACAGAAGGAGTTCATTCACCATTGGACTCCAGTGGTAAAATTTCCTATAGCCAAGCAGCACCGACTCCGTTACCTTACCTGTCATGTTTTTTATTTGGCCTCTTTTGATCAATAATTGTGTTTATATATTCTCTAGCTTAATATTTTCTATCATTATACTAATTTTTTATACTCTGAAGAGCGTCAGATGAAAAGCTGAAGTATGTTGTAAAATGTTTGTTTTTTCAAAGCCATTTTACAAGTTTTGTACCATCTTGAATCAGTTTTGAAAAAATTTCTTCTATATCATAAATGCGTTTAAATGAGTTGGTAACATTGGCTGTGTATTTTAATTAATATAAAGTTCTTGCTCATGTAAACATTGCTTGAATAATGCGATTTTTTAATTCTTTGTTGCGATGAAATATTTTTTATCAAATTTCAAATAAGAACTAGCTTTATCTTCCTTTCAAACTTTGCCATGTTGTCTATATCGTTAGTGTGCCTTGCTGAGCTTATTTAATGAACCACAAGAAGTGAATTATCTTAAGGCAGTCTGTCCCCTCCATGGTTGGCTAATTCTGACGTGAGAGTCTCGCCTTTAAAGGCAGCTCGTCCTCAATTGTTCTCAGAATTTCTTTTCATGGCCACCATATTCATGGATCGTTGGTTTAATGCACAAATACCACAAAGGAATGAAGAACCACCATAGCGTACTCTCCCTGAGCGAGTCTCTATGAATGTTGTTTTGGTGTCAAGCGTCTTAGTCATTTTCGATCATTAGGCCCTTTTTTGTTGTTTGTTCACCCACAATAACTAATGTCAGATGCTAAAAAGAGAAAGGGAGACCAGGGGCGGATCCAGAGCAAACTTGAAGGAGGGGCAGTATGTAGTGGGGGCGCTGAAAATTCTTTGAGGATTGATGACGAGAGAACGCTGTATACAACAATTTCAGATCCATTTTCGGAAAAAACAACATAACTTTGAAGTAATCCTTGAAGCAAATTAACCCATTGGTCTCAGAAACTCTTTCACCTGATTCTCATTCTTCAAAAGGAGCGCACAATTTCCAAAAAGGGGTGCCATACTTGCTTCAACTCATCGAGGGAGGGGCAACTGCCCCTAGTTGCCCCCCCCTAAATCCGCCACTGAGGGAGACCCTTTTAGGGCGAGTCTTCAAGTTAAATTAGCCAACAACAGAGAAGACAGATTGCCTTTAAGTAACCTAATGATTCTATTAAGGATGAAACTCAGAGTTGCAAGTTGTAACCATCCTGTTCTATATACCAAAGCGCACACAGCTCTCCTTTAACAAAATCGAGCTCTAAGGTATTGATACCAGCAAAACATTGTAGGCTAGCTTGAAAATATTGACCAGTTGACAAAGTGGTAAGAGGCAATGAATGGCAATCTTTTAAAATGTAGTTGGATCCTGCCGCTAGATCATATATAGGATCAACGGGTTTGTCCACATGATAGATTTTCCATGTTTTTTCTAGGTGCAACAGATTGACAGGGTAGTCGAAGTTGTGGAAGAAACGATTAAAGGTTGTTATTTTAGATTCTCTTTGATGACAAAAGGTCTCTAAAATGACATATCATATTGCTTCATTGTTTTGTATGCTTATAAATTTTGCAACAGACCAATGCGGATACAATATATAACTACAATACGATAATGTACAATAGTTGTTCTATGCCTGTTTATGGTTAAACACGCTATTTTGGCACACACAAATTTATTAAGAAAACAAGATACACAACTTCAAAGAGCAAATCGAGTTATAAAAAGTTGACACTGCCTTTATAGAGTTAATTAGCTCTGGACTTGCATTCTTATCGCAAGTTTGCTATAAAGTACGATTTAATTGATAAAATCATTGTTTGCATGCCCATAGTAGTCCTGTTCGCCTTCAAATCAACCAAATTCTTTATTATTCTTGAGCTACGATTAATCAATACAATGTAACTACGGCGATCCAAGGTGCAGTCTACTTCGAGATGTAATGTGGCTTCATTTTTCCCTTTCATCCTCATGCCGCATTTCTCATTAATTACCCCTATTCGAGATTATCTCAAAATATCATGAAAGCTTCTCATCCATTCTCTACTTTTAAGTCACAGTTTCCACGACTGTTGGGTAAGGCTTCATTGTTCTCAAGCCGCTAGCTCTCAGATTCAAATGATTGATTGACGCATCTTAGTGAAATTAATGACATTGCCTCTACTCTAGGTAACACTGTTCGACTGCTTGGCAAAAAGAAAAGCGAAGGCCGTAAAATTGGCGGTGCTGCTTTAGATCTGCCTAAAATCCGAAAAAATCCGCTAATTGAAATAATCGCCATTAATACAGGGTAAGTTCCTGATTATTAGTCTTCCATCATACACATGATTCTACCAAAATGCACACCTCTACCAACCAGAATTTAAGGGTTTCTATGTAACGTCAATTAGAATAAAAAAGGAGCCGTTCCGCGTTGCATTTATTATTTAAGTTAAGAACTGTCGCTTTTTAAACATTTTGCAATGTTTAATACAAAATGTGCTGGATTGAAAAATTAAGAAAAATTGCATTGAAGATTAAGCAACTTTTTGAATTGAAAACTTTTGTCAAGATCACCTTATCTGTTGTAGTACTCGATAACGTATGAATGGAGTTTTGTATTGGCGTGTAGAACGTGACATTCTTGTCAAAGGAAAAGCGCCCAGAGCCCCTCCTTGTGGGAAAATCTTTCTTGCTTTCAAGTTTATTCATTTACATGTAAGCCGTAACAATAAATGAATGGCAAATATAAATCTAATGAATAATACCCTAACCAAAGATACACAAATTGTAATCAAATTATACGAATATAAATGGTTTTTATAAATATTATTTATGGTACATTTTTTCTTTCAATTTATATTTTCTTCTCGACCTCTTGCATCAATTAAATTTTGAATCAGCCAATCTTAGAGCCATTTCCATTTTCAAATACCATTTTAGTCAGATAACATCTGTACATAGAATTTTGATATTTTGAAAATCCTTTTTTCATATCATTTTGCACAAACTCAATTTTACTATTATATTAAGTTAATACAAACATATTTACATAGAGTCATATTAGTCTTTTATTCTTGTCTATGATATCAATTTTTGAAGATGCTTTTGATTAGGCAGGTAATTCGTCATTTTCATTGCCATCCTCTTTGAATCCTGCATTACTGTGACCGAGGGATGCTTTTGTTGCAGTGGTACAACACGTTTGAGCACTCGAATTGCTTGTACAATCATAATTTTTGCTACTGAGATTACTCAAGTTTTCTATTAGGCTAGAATCTGTGTCCCTAATAAAATCGATAGTCTCTAATACTGCCTTGTCCGCCACATTTTTCTCAGTAGTGCGGTACGAAATTGGTGCTGGTTTAGAAAATGATTCGTTTTGATTTCCAATAGCCATCTTATCGGCACCATCCCTAGGAGATAGTGCAGCAGCAGCAGTTTTCTGTTTTGTATATGCTATGTTGGCGAAGTCATTCATGTCCATACTTTTTAAGCTTTTGAAGTCGATTCCTTTAGGGGCATCACCGTTTCTCAATATTGTACTCGCTCTAATCCGCTTCTTTAAAATGTCTTTGGGGCTCCTATTATCAAGCCTAGATGGGCTTTTCTTTTGGCTCACATCCAGGAGACCAAATTCACTTTTGCGACGTCTATCGTGTCGATCACTTGTCAGCTGCTTGTCTTTTTGAATGTCAAATATCATGGAATCGCTACAGCGTCGTCGTTGTATATCTAAAGTCGCAGGTGGGGGTTGCTGGCGGTCTCTGGGAGAATTTCTATACCATATCGGTGACCGTAGTTTGGATTCTTGCCAGGCCTGTGAACTGTTGAAGGAATAGAAGTAAGACCTCTTAAGGCGGAAGATTATTTTTACGGCCTCTCTGATACTTGACATCTTGAGTATGCATATAACGGCATTAAGCGCACTTCCGGTTGGCAGCATCAAGAATGCGATGTCCCGGAATACATGCCTCGTATCGCAACTACATGAAAGGCATAGCTGTAGAAAATAAGCTGAGACAAGAGCGGGGAAATAACTGCTTAAAAATGTGACCAGCATCGTCAGAAAGACGCTTGTCAATCTTCTCTCTCGCATTACTATCTTACTTTGTTTAACTGTGTCACTCCAAGACTTCGCCGTTTTTTTTCTTTGCCGTTCCTTGCTCTTATTAATGTCTTTTATTTTAAGATTTCTAACTTCTGATTCGTCTACTTTTGTATATTTTTCTTCTTGATTGTCCTGTTTGTTATTTAAATTTGCTTTCTTAAGATTTTCAATCTTCCTGCTTACATTCTTCTTATCTTGTTCTATCAGGGCTCCCATTTTCTTACTCGGGTCTGTGATATTTCCTCTAGCATCTGAGACACTCTTCTCTTTAGGCAGATTTTGGGACAGTTTCTTTCCTTTTTGCTTACCGTTTTCTCCCTTCGCAGTCATTTCTTCTATATTCCGTATATTTAGCGGAACATTGGGTAGTATATCTAGCAATCTCTTTTTATTAATGATTTCTGAAGTCTTTTTCATGTTTCGCATTATTTTCAAGTACGTAAGTAAGGTTATGCCAAAAATACAGACAAAGGATAGGTGTATGTATATAGTTACGAGAGTTACGTATCCGAAAATGAAATAGAATCCCGTAAACGCTATTGCGAAAACCCATACTGCGATGGAAATGATAATACATCGACGCCTCGTAATTTGGCGTCCTGCTGTAGATAGCGAGATAAACGCGTAATAGCGATCAAAACACAAGGCAGCCATGCTGAAGAGACTGGCCGATAGTGAGATGAAGTAGGTCATGTGTACAATGTAAACATAGGTCATGTTTATCAAGCGTTTCGCTTCGAGGTAGTGAAACATCACTGACACTGGCATTGCTATCAATCCGACGATCAAATCACTGAGCGCCATATTTGCGAGAAAGAATGCGAACGAGTTACGAAGCTTACCGTGCGGGTCTTTGATTGTCGCAACTATGATAAGGGAGTTACCGACCGTCGTAATGATAGCTAGAATCACAGATACAGCTGCCGTAAAGTAAGAAAGAGGCACAGGCGCCCAAGATCCAGGGAAGCATGGATCAGGCATCTAGAGTTGTTAAACGCGTGACTCTGTGTTGCAGGCTTGTATCATTTCACATCCAATAACTCGATTGCAGCTGAAGACCCGTTGTCTGACAAAAGATCCCACAACAAGTTAAGACGAAATTCTTGCCAGTCAATTGCTTGCTTGCGCTACGTGCAATGCTCCCCCGGAAATTCACTTTGATACTAAACAAATTATAAATTTCACTTTCATCATCAATTTCCACATCTTGTATTATTAAAGACAATTTTTATAAGTCTGCCAACAAGTTATACACGCCAACTGCCAACTTCATAGTTTTAAACATCATTTTTCGAATCCTTCTTCGTGTTGAACAAGAACTCACAGTAATACTGACACTGTTTGGCTAATGTTTCTTCTCAATCGATATTTATCGTAAGGTTATCAAATAAACATTGACTTCACAGTATGTGCATGTTTTCTAGTTAAGCCAAATTAGCAGCTGTAAGTGCAACGATCGCCAGCAAATTTCTGAAGCAGACATCACTTCGATTCCGTTGATGATACGCACAGATTTCTATCTCAACAAATATATATGTGTCGGCGTCAAATATGTCCCATTCTCTTTCGAATATGACCTATTCTGTTATCAATAAACCTGTTTGGAAGTGCGTAGTCCCGTTTGCCTCACATGAAGCAATATGTTGACTTACACAATCACCTTTTCAATCAGAACGACTTACGACATCCTCCCAGTCTCCACAATTGTAAAGTGTTTTTTACCACGTCATTCGACTCCACTAAAATGCTCATCGTTCGCACTTCATAAGGCAGTTTTGTGTACAAGACTCAGTATTGCCATAATAATTCAATGCTTGCAGTTATAAAAATGCGCATTGCTAGTGTGTATGTATGGTGAAAGTGAATGCTTGATCGGAGACAGGTGCTGTTGTCGCATGGCTCAGGACAAACAATTGTGACCTGTGCGCTGTTACTTTAACTGGCGGATGATTGGGTGGGACGAATCTTTACTGTCACTTTGGCTTTCGAGTACGTTCAACCATTCTCTGTGAATGTACGTCAGTCATGAACTATTTCTTTCCGTTGATTTTTACGCGTTTGAACATGTTTTAATATGCTTTGCGTTGAATTATTGATTAGTATATTGTATTTTAAGTCCATGCAGCATGATGCCAATTATGATTGGAATTTTTCTCTAAGACTTTTTTAAATCTTTTTGGGTGGCTGTATGGAAATTTATTAGGAATATCTAACGATCTTCCCAAGCAGCTATGGTTTTTGCTCATTTTGGAGAGCAATCATTCATATGACAGAGATCTGGTCTAACTCGTATTTTAGTTTTCTTGTTTTTTTACCATCGTGGTAATACAAAGAAAGAAGCAAATTCAGGAGAATTTAGGCTTCTAGTCAATCTATATGCACAAGTTACAAAATAAGAATTGTATTTCTGGTTTATCAACAAGTATTAGTTATTCATTTAATCGAATTACCTTTTTTTTTGATGACTTTCAGAAATTCAAATTTAATTATGTAAATTTTCGGTACACTTGATTTAAATCGTGTCTGCAAAACAATTAACAGTCATCAAGACCATTGATCTCTGAGAAATCAGTTGTTTTTTAAAAGCCCAAAACAATCCATAATTTTCACAGTACTATCAGGCATGTTATGTAAGCAAGCTTTTCATACATCCCATGCGTTTTTGATATATCGAAAAATTTTAAAGCTGCTTTCAGGATACATTTGTCTCCACATTTTAATGTAGAGAGACGCACTTTACGCTATCATGAGTATAATGTTTTTCCCTGTTTAGAAATGTTACTGAAGTTCACATTTGTGTCGTGCAATGTTTTTCTTTATATGTAAGAAGAATGAGTACATAATTTGTTTGATGATCAATGTAGATCAGCGTTTTGCAGTTCGATAAATCCTTAGTAAAAATTAATATAATTGATAAACGAATTTGTACATGGGAAAATTCAGGATCCAATTTATTCTATATTATTTTCTAAACGATGTTCGAAACCACTTTAGCTTAATATTCTCTCTTTACCTCTGTCATGCATTCACCATCAAACACAGGTTTAGTCTAAGCTATGAATCCTGTTGTTCATAGCAAGAATTATACTAAGAAAGACTTTTTAAAATTAGAGTTATCTTGTATCTTTCGGTGAGTAATCATAACAATCTTACGTTCAAATAAATGTTTATTTCTGATTTCTAATTTCTGGCTGGATGCAAACGAATTATTTTGGCTTGCGTTTGGACGCCTGTCTTGGTTATCTATACTTCGCAAATGATAGACATAATAATCGAAAATTTCTTTTCATTCCTATTCACTTTCAACCACCTCTATTTGGATTTAGAAAGCAGGTGCCACGTAGAAACCAAAATTGGCTTTCAATTTGTCTTTGACAAATTTTGTTCTTTAGCTTAAATTTTCTAGAAAAACACTCGTGTTTTATTTTTGCAACAAAAGGAAATGAATCTTCATCAACACAAACTAAGCTCCTTACAATTTTTCACTACAAAACAAGCTGCAGTAATTTTCTGTGTTTGTTATCTCACGATGCGAATTGATTTTCTAGTTGTATTGGATTTCTAATATCAATTTGCTTTGTTTCTTTGTGCTAATCAATTTTCTGACTCGTATTATTCATTTCTTTGAAATTTTTGAATAAATATTTATTGATTTGTTTGTTATTATTTACTCTTGAAGTCAATATTTTCCTTTGTTTTTTCACTTTTATATGCCCTTTTTCATATATTTTGATATTCGTGATTTGCGGATTTTTTATTGATGTCAAAAGTACTTTCATATCATATAGCACATCATCAAGAAATTGTTGTATATACAATATTTTATTGCTGCTATATTGGCGTTCCTTTCGTAAGCCCAATCTCCAGTGAGAAAAAATCAGCGAAATGTGAAAAAGTTCGAGCGAAATACGTCTTAGGCATGCGCAGTGATCTTTTGCTGGGATTTCTCGCGAAAAATTTCTCTGCGAAAAAAAGTTAAAATGAGTTTAACTTTTTTCGCTTTTCGCTTGCGAAATCCTTCAACAGCCAATCATATTCCGTATTCCTTTGTCACGCTTCCAAACTTTACATTCCAATGTCGTGAGGTCAACAAAAACATTCAAAGGCGTTTGTCGCGTGAAGTATTTCGCAAGACTTTTTCTCACTGGAGATTGGGCTTTAGTGGCAAAGTGATGACGTCTTTTTTTAGAATTTTTGAACTTTGAACACATAACCTGAAAGGACACCTCATCATCATCAAGTAACAGAAGGTTCATTTTGAACTGCTTTTGCTCTCCACAAGTCACAATCGTGTGCTATCTTGCACATTTTGGCAAAAACCCATTCCACCCACATTGATTTTTAAGTTGTCACCAAACCTAGATGTCGTTCTTGTTTGCCTTAAATAGTTTCTACCTTATACAGTTCCGGTCAGAAGGTCTTCCTCAAGGTTCTGTTTTCTTAGAATGTGCCCATCAAAAGCCATCTTCCTGCAGTTAATTGATGTCAGCAGTCTTGTTTTACAGTTCATTTCGTTTAAAACCCATTTATTGGTTTTAATTTCAGCCCAGCTGATTCTTAAATGTCTACGGTAACACCATAACTCAAAACTATTGATCCTGTTTTTATCAGCTTGGGGTCAATAGTTTTGAGATATGGTATGTTATGGTTTTGTTGAGTTATCGTCTAGAGGACACCATAAAATACCTCTAATTTTCAGAATCACATATCGCCTGTGATATGGCCTGAGTAGAGGCTTTTTCTCTTCCAAACTACTGTCATTTGGCCCTGGTTCTAAAACTTATCATCCAAGCCAGCATAGGCGTCAAATCCTGATTGGCTGCGAAAGGAATCGCCATAGCGGGAGTCCCCATTGTTTTGAATCAATCAAATTGCGAGAAATGAACAATCTTAGAATTTTGACCACTCCTTCTTAAAAAAAGTCCTGATGCAAGGATTTTTGGGGAAATTTGCTTTTATTTTGTAAATGTGTCGAGGAAGCTTGTGGGCACATTTCCAGTGTTGGCTTTTTCGCGGTCTCGTTTATGGCCATTAAAACATTGACATTATATTTTAAACAAACCTCTGTCTTTTTATAACACTTATCCAAGCCAAAATGACTCTAATCGGTTACCAAAATTAAAATCTCTCAAGAAATATGTAGCAGATTTGATTGATTTTGGACATTAAGAAGTATTTCATGGTGTCCTATTAGGGTAGGCTCAAAGTCCAAAATTCTAAAAATAGATTTCTCTGACTTCATAACTCTGCCACTCTAGACCAAATTTTTGATATCCACTTAACATTGATCGACGATATCTGTGTCTTATCAGGATAGCTAACACGTCTTTTACGATTTCGTCACTGCAAGTTCTTATTGATTTTTATCTCTTCTCTCTTCCATCATCAATTGTCTGAATCAGTCTCTTCCATCTCTAGTTGTCTCAATCAGTGCACATATTGTAAAACAAAGCATGCCAGGGGTGAACTGGGTTCTTATCCACCTGAAGAGATAGTCGAAAGAGCAAAGCAGTCGTTTCAAGGTAAGGTCTTCTTTTGAAACAGACAGCTCTGACTAGACGATTATTATAGAGCAATAATTTATCTTTTTTTGTAAAATCAGTTTTTGAGGGGAGTTAACTTCAGAGTCTGTTTAAGGTACCATGGGTGTAAGAGCCTCAGAGAGGGGAAGCTAGAATAAGGATGAAGAACGGGGAAGAGGATTGCGTCCTTTCACCGTTCTTCATCCTTTGACTCTCTGAGGCTCTGGCATCCACGGTACTTTCAAGGTAGCTAGAATAAGTTAGAGATTGTTTTGGTCTCGTTAACAAGACGGCTAATGATAGGTAATAGCAGCTCAGCTGTAATGATAATAATAATAATATTAATACAGATAATAATAATATCTTTTATATAATTATCTTTAGGTTTATTATAATGGTTTATGATAATAATAATAAACCATATTTATACAGGTAAACTTGTTCAGCAAAATAATTTGATGCTATCAACCAAGGACCTGTTAGCCTAGAGTTCCTAAAATATTTTACAATAATAATTTAATATAATTTTACAATAAAAATTTTCAAATTGGTCTAAATTTTGTTTAAGAAATATGTTTTACAAAAGAAACAAGCAATGATTAAGTCTAAATAAAAGTGTTAAAAGTCAAAATCCTTACAAAAACTTTAAACTCTTGAACTTCAATATTGATGTTTTGTGTTCCTTTGGTATTTATTGTATATTTTTGCAACCTGGAAGGCCAACCTTTTATCTCCCTGCTTCAGATTTCACTTTTTGGAGCAATAAACTATGTTCCTTTCCACGAGTTGCTTTACAATGTTTACTTTTCTGAAAGTGCGTCATAAAGTCAGGCGGTGCAAGGTCGTTCAAGCATTTAAAGACCTCGATAGCACACATCCTATTTCTGATGTGGTTTATTGTTGGTAGTTTTACACTATTTCTTCTGCCATTTATAATGTTTAAAGATCGTATTTGGACGTTTTCAAATAGCTGTTTCTTAGATGGTGATAGGTCTATGAGAATGTTGTAGCAGTAAATTAGCACTGTCAGTATCACGACTCTATATATTGCTTCTATTTGTGTATTAGATATGCTGATCCCATCTTTGAACATTTTGAGGAAGCAAGTTCACGTTTGTGATACGCGAATATAGTGTCATCGCTGTTAGATATAGCTTACACTCTAAGAAAACGAATGCAACTGATTTCAAAGGAAACGAAAACTCAATGAGGACAATTCAGACGAAAATTCAACAAAATCTACTATTTTAGGAAAACCAAACTGTATCACCTGGTAAATAGGTTTTTGCTAGGGCAGTAAAATTTTATATTATTATGTGTCTTAAACTAACAAAATATGGCTCATTTTCCTTGTGTGATGTCAATAACAGTTCGGTTGATTATAAAGTGCAGGTAAAGTGTTTGATGATCTAAGTGCTTTTTTAGCCTGATTCAAACACAGAATTCTATATCAAGGTTAATTACTAACCATCAAGTGAAACTCTATTTAGTCAAAGATCTATTTCTTATTTTATTACACTGCTTTTCCTAAAGTTTTTTCGAGACTAGTGTGCCTCTTTTATTCAACCATTTTGTCTGGAAAATCTAGGAGAAATTGTATGTTTTGCACGACCGAGAAACTACAAAGAGGATGTCTTCCAGTAAAGCTTTCTTGATTCCTTTAAAGACTCTACACATGAAGTTTTCCTTAGTTTATACTCAACGCTGTTTGCCATTAGCAGATAATTTATAATAATTATAAGATTTCATTAGCAGATTTTTATGTTTAGACTATGTTCGTTTGTTAACCTTAAATCTATTTTGAATCTGGAATGTCAGTGAATGAGTGTAGAATGATTTACTTTGATTGTGATACAACATACCTTTCCCAGAAATATTTTCGTCTTATATTACATAGAAAAAAAAATACTTCTACAGAGCCGTAGAAGATCATAGAAAGGGTCCTTTTAGATCTACAAGATTTGGACAGTAATGGTTAAACTGTCAAAGGGGAGCGTTTTTGCCAGGTTGATGACTAGCCTAATGGACTAGTGAATTTATTTGCTCCTGCTGTTTCTGACACGATCGTCATTAAGCAGCTTTGTTCAACTGCAAATTTGTCTTAACAAACACATTTAGGTGCTGTTTGCCTGAATGCATACTTTTCGTCTTATTCAGTTCCCCGTATTAGCTTTTGGCTCGGTAACAAACACGGGAACAAGCAAACAGATTTCTTTTATCAACCAAATTTAAGTCAGATTCGCATAGCGTGTGCATGTTTACCAGCCAAACAATGATACCTATGCCTACATCGTGTCAACACAACGATTCTTTTACATCAATCTTTAACAGCTCTGAGCGTATTTTGGTGATTTTTTTTATTTACCATCCCGGTTTTGGATTTTACTAAGCGTATTTTTACTGAGCGTATTTTTACTGAGCGTATTTTTACTGAGCGTATTTTTTACCGAGCGTATTTTTCACTGAGCTTATTTTTTACCGAGCGTATTTTTCACTGAGCGTATTTTTTACCGAGCGTATTTTTTACTCAGCGTATTTTTCACTGAGCGTATTTTTCACTGAGCGTATTTTTCACTGAGCGTATTTTTCACTGAGCGTATTTTTCACTGAGCGTATTTTTTACCGAGCGTATTTTTCACTGAGCGTATTTTTCACTGAGCGTATTTTTCACTGAGCGTATTTTTCACTGAGCGTATTTTTCACTGAGCGTATTTTTCACTGAGCGTATTTTTCACTGAGCGTATTTTTTTTTTTAAACTGAGCGTATTTTCACTGGTGCTTTATTTTTTTTTACTGATGCCGGCGTATTTTTTTTACTTGAGCTATTTTTTACTCGAGCGTATTTTTACTCTTAGCTATTTTTTTTAACTCAGCGTATTTTTTCACTGAGCGTATTTTTTTTACGTTCAGCGTATTTTTCACTGAGCGTTGTGTATTTTAACGGTTGGGTCATTGTATTTTTCACTGAGCGTATTTTTTACTGAGCGTATTTTTTACTGAGCGTATTTTTTACTGAGCGTATTTTATACTGAGCGTATTTTTTAATGAGCGTATTTTGTACTGAGCGTATTTTTTACTGAGCGTATTTTATACTGAGCGTATTTTATACTGAGCGTATTTTATACTGAGCGTATTTTTTACTGAGCGTATTTTATACTGAGCGTATTTTATACTGAGCGTATTTTTTACTGAGCGTATTTTATACTGAGCGTATTTTTTACTGAGCGTATTTTTTACTGAGCGTATTTTTTACTGAGCGTATTTTATACTGAGCGTATTTTATACTGAGCGTATTTTATACTGAGCGTATTTTATACTGAGCGTATTTTTTACTGAGCGTATTTTTTACTGAGCGTATTTTTACTGAGCGTATTTTATACTGAGCGTATTTTTTACTGAGCGTATTTTTACTGAGCGTATTTTTTACTGATCGTATTTTTTACCGAGCGTATTTTTACTGAGCGTATTTTATACTGAGCGTATTTTATACTGAGCGTATTTTATACTGAGCGTATTTTATACTGAGCGTATTTTATACTGAGCGTATTTTATACTGAGCGTATTTTGTACTGAGCGTATTTTATACTGAGCGTATTTTATACTGAGCGTATTTTTTACTGAGCGTATTTTATACTGAGCGTATTTTTTACTGAGCGTATTTTGTACTGAGCGTATTTATTACTGAGCGTATTTTATACTGAGCGTATTTTATTCTAAGCGTATTTTTTACTGAGCGTATTTTATACTGAGCGTATTTTATACTGATCGTATTTTGTACTGAGCGTATTTTGTACTGAGCGTATTTTTTACTGAGCGTATTTTATACTAAGCGTATTTTATACTGAGCGTATTTTTTACTGAGCGTATTTTATACTGAGCGTATTTTTTACTGAGCGTATTTTTTACCGAGCGTATTTTTCACCGAGCGTATTTTTTACTGAGCGTATTTTATACTGAGCGTATTTTATACTGAGCGTATTTTATACTGAGCGTATTTTATACTGAGCGTATTTTGACGATTAAGCCATACCTAATCCAAAACCCCACCAACCCTACCTACCCCAAAACCCCACCAACCCTTCCTACCCCAAAACCCCATACCAATCCCAACCTTACCAACACCTCCAACATCTTTAATACAGCTAACCCCAACTACCTTAACCATCCGGGGGCCTATCTATAGGGCTTGTAGGGGTTGTGACACCCCCTTCCACCAATTCCTCATGCATGGATCAGTTGGTCCACAAAATCGTTAAGTTTGTCGGTAAAATCGTTTATTGGTGGTTGAAATAGCAGGTTTGAATTATGCTGTTGATGACCTCCACCCCCTAGTCTGGAAGTTCAAGCTTTGCTACTTCCTATAGCCATGAAATAAACGACCTAGATAATGTGTTAAGTGATTAAACTGGGAAAATCTTTCCCAATCCCTCAATTGATAACATCCTGGCAAGACCATTCATCATACAGTTTTCAAATCTTTGTGAAGTAAAGAAAGTCACTGACACCTCAAACAGTCGGCTGTAGACCGGTTTCGCCCCATATCAGGGCTCATCAGTACAGCTAGACTGAATGAGGACCCATTGCTAACCTAGGGCCAGAAATTAGCCTGTCAGTGGCAATGCATGTGGGAGGTAGTGTGAAAAGGAAAGAAAATACGCATGAGTCTTAGAGACTCGACAGTCTCTTTAAGCAAATTCACCAGGAACCGCATCTACTGTTACATACTAACTATATTAACAATGAAAGCCTTGCCAAAATAAAATCTAAGCTGCTTTGGCTCCCTTTATTTTAGAGGGTGTCGTGGAGATCTGGCTGACAAGTGAAGATACTGGTGCCTATGGAAGAGATATTGGGGTAACACTGCCAGACTTGTTATGGAAGCTTGTCGAGGTTATACCAGACGGTGCGATGTTAAGACTTGGTATGACAAATCCGCCCTACATTCTCGAACATTTAGAGGTATGCAGAATCAACTTTGTGTCTTTGAATATCAAATGTGTTTATGTATGGCCAGCTATGTATGTGGTAAACAGTTAAAAACAATTTGATATGATTCGGAAAGGTGAGGACGATCTGTAATGTGAGCAAAATGGCCTCTTAAACAAGCAGGCCAGAGAATACATTGCGTTTGATTTTTGGCATCGAGACCAGTTTCTGTTTTCAATGAACTATATAGGTTGTAGCATAATGAATATATATATATATATATTGATAAAAAGATATTTATATTACTCGCACAATCATTGGGCAAATTGAAAACTTTTGGTTTCTTACCTTTGAGGTATTTTGTTGTGAAGGCGTCGAATCATGCTACTTGCCTTTGCTTGCTAAATTTTGAGTCCATTTGTACACATTGAAAAGTTATCTGCAATGTAGGCTTTAGAAGACAAAATTTATTCTCGACTTAGAAATTGATCTTTTATCGTGTTAATGGTGTTTCTCGCCCCTGTATTTTTTTAAACATGCCTGTTTTCACTAGGAAATGTCAAAGATCCTAAGTCACCCACGTGTGTACTCGTTCCTGCACGTTCCTGTGCAATCTGGATCAGACAGCGTGTTGATGGACATGAAAAGGGAGTACTGCAGGAATGATTTCAAGCACGTCGTCAATTTCCTCCAAGAAAGGTGATTTCTAAGCTATCTTACACTATTTGCATTAAGCTTGGTTTCCACTATGAGTTAACGTGAGTTAATTTGAGATAATTTTCTGATCTGACATGGTTAAGAACAATTTTACAAGCACCAAAATTGGCTGAACAAATTAAGGACAGCCTGAGGTACTATAACATTTTAAAAATGGAAATTATTGTTAAGAATATATCTTTCTTGAAAGAATCTATTTTTTCTAATGCTGTTTAGAAAATTTAAAAAAATCTCTGCAGTAAAATATTCTCCTGTAGAAATCTACTTACCTTAGACCCTAATAATTTTGGGTTACATTAGGAAGTATCTATCCTCAAAGATCTGGAAGTTTTGAGAACAGCCAGCGTGAACATAAATTCCCTGGCTCTTATATAAATAAGCGGTAGCTGTAGTTTTTAATCATCTTGTAGTTTTAGTCAGTTTTTAATTATCTTGCTAAAATACAAATCAATTCCCCTTTTTTTGGTATATTGGCATCAATATATAATGTCAAATTAAACCATCCACCTTTTCTCCTTTCTCCTCCTTTGAATAACATTACCTTCCAAGAAAATGGCGTACAAGAGAAGGAAGTGTGTTTTCTATGTGACTGGTATATGTTCATCTGAAATATTAGCACTCATTTTTCGAAAAGGAGGAAATTGCAGTAGCAAAACGAAAAAAAGCTATTTCAGTTGTGTTCTATACTATTGTTTCCCTTTTTTAAAGTAAACTGTGATTTTTAATGCGTAGTAAATGAACAACATGTACTAGACCTTCTGTCTTTTCTACTATTGTCAAATTCTGTATTTTCATTGTCTTTCAGTTTCATTTCAGCTACATACATTTTAAATTCACTACATAAAATTTACAATTTACTATACTAACAAGTAACTAAACTACAATGAAAAATATAACAGAAAATTAATACATTTATACGGAAAATTAATACAATATACAATACATAGGACTGAACTTTGAGTTGCGTGAACAGCTATTAATTATGTACAAGCGTATACAAGTTTTAATTTCTCATCAGTTTTTTAATCACTTCTTGGAATCTTAATCGGAATGAACAAATTTTAAGTAATTCGTGTTTCAGGGCCCCTGGCATCACAATAGCAACTGATTTCATCTGCGGGTTCCCAACAGAAACTGACCAGGTACATTTTTTTCATATTGTATTTAGAATTTTACTTTTATAAAGATTAAAAGAGAATTTTATATATTTTATGATATAACGCATTTTTATGAAATATTTCCCACTTTAGTTTTTAAGATTTGATAATATACATGTCTGATACGATTTGTGTTGTGCATATGTTGATAAAGTTTGGTACTCTACTTTCTTGTTAAGGGTAACATTTTTATGTTGATTTTGTTGTTTTGTTTTTGTTTTGAAATAATTGTCCTTAGCAAGTTGTTAATTCTTCTGCAGAATTTGTTTATAGAAAGAATTATTGTTACATATCTTAATTCTTGCTCTATTGTGGTATTTTCTCATCAGTGGTCACAACACTCAATGATTTTTTCCAAGTCCATAAAATACATTGTATTTGAGATTAGGAAAGATTTAAACGCCATCATGTTCTGCACAAATCGTTGCATATTTAGTGAATATTTGTATGTCTTATGTGATATTGAATCTCAAATTAACAAATGTTTTTCAGGATTTCGAGGATTCTTGTTCATTAGTAGAAGAGTACAAGTTTCCTAGCCTCTTTATCAATCAGTTCTACCCTCGACCTGGTACACCAGCTGCAAGGCTCAAAAGACTTGCAAATAACGTGGTATGGGTTACTTCTAGTTTGAGCTTAACTTTTTTAATACTTCTAATTTTCGATATTAAATTGTTCTTCATTTCATTTTATTGAGATTATTTGTTCCTATATGCTTAAAAGAATTGTTCCGCGTTGCATATTTTGATTAGCATAAACGGACCGGCACTTTAACATTGCTGCCTCTTTTTCCTGATTTTCTACCAATTTTTCTTGATTATTTCATTGCCATCGTTTCAAGCATTTGGTCAGAGAGTACAACTAAATCAAGATTTGTGTTGTATTGTGATGAGTATTAATTCCTATGAACTAATTACTTAGCTCGTACATTTTCCCAAAGGTGAAGAATAGAACCCGACGTCTTACGAATATCTTTCAGTCCTACTTACCTTATGAGGAGAAGGTGAGTGTCGAAAATTCGTTCTTTTTGCAATGTCACTTTCAATGAAATGACATGTTTAGCCAAGACGGCCCCAGACTTTGACATGAAGTTAATATCAAGACAAAGCTAAAGACAGAAGCGATTTGTCAGAGTTGTTCTGATGTTTTAATTTCCAAGCATAGCCATGTCCCAGAGATTACGAAACTTCAAGGTAGCGCTATAATTGAAAGCTGTTTAGTGGGTATATTAAACTTGGTTTATATCTAATACTCACCAAGAGAAGGAAAAAATTCATGATGGCTAAAGGGTGGCCACTTTGAGTATTTTTATGAAACTCGGAGAGAAGGCACTTTTAGCTTGACTCATTTTATTTTTATCAGCCACATTTTCTAACATGTCACTTGCTTGGATGCAGTTAAGGATATCACGAGCACGTTTGTACTACCGGCCTACTTTTGCTCGTTTTCAAAGTTTACAAAGTACTATAATATTGACACCCTGAACTCACTGTTTCCATTTACAAAGATTTCAATGAATCTTAACGAAAATACGACTGCCCAACTGACTATCAATTGCCAGTGATAATTTTCCTTATCTAGTTTTTGTCAAATGTGTTCAGTTTAATGCTGTGTTAATTTCATTAACCAAAATTGCGTTTGTGTCTCTCTTTTGCCATGTTTTTCTAATTGTGCTCGTCTTTGTAAGACTAGCTAAGCGCCTAAAATTTTGTATATTGCTCATTGAGCTGAACACCATCTGCAGTACCTACTGACGTCACCGAGGGCATGCTTTGCTCAGTGTCTGGTAGCATGAAAGTTGATAACAGCACTTTTGAAGTCTTTATGTCACAGATCCAGTTTGAAGTCTTTATGTCACAGATCCAGTTTGAAGTCTTTATGTCACAGATCCACGGAAACAATTTATTCCGTCGAAGTGCGCAAACTATTTCATACGTTTTAAAATAAAAAGTAATGCAAGGAATTCAAGTCTGCTACTGGAATGGCTAAGCCCATCGCCATCATTTTACTGTAAACTTGGTAACATTATAGCGCGACATCATCTAAATCCTGTGCTCTTTATTTCAGCTTCATAAAAGATACAAGGTTTTGATAACTGAGTATTCTAAAGACGGCGAATATTTTGTTGGGCACAACAAATTTTATGATCAGGTATTACATCTTAATTTTCTACATGTGAGAATGTCCTGTCTATCCAAGCTTATCGCGCCTTGCTCCTAACAGTCTTCTGCAAGTTAAAACAGTTATTTTAGATATCGTAATTCCTTCTCGCGAAGACATTTGAAAGTTTTTTGGAAGACAATATTTTGCCTTTATTTCAAGCACCCCTGTTTTTCTTTGCTATGTATCTCCCAAAAAGTTTAATATGTGTTTGAAGGCTACTCGTGTAGGAAAATTGCTTTATGCTTCTATGCGTACTGTGATGATATTAAAACTGTAATAAATAATTTCAAAGAAAGTACCTTGAGCGGAAAATTGGATTGTTTGGTGAAACTACCTTGATCGGATTGTTTAATAACTGCAATTGGATTCTACAATCTAGGAAAAAACAGTTGAGATTTTTCAAGAAAAGTTGATATTTTCTATTTCCTTTCAAATGATTTTCCCACTTCCCCCATAAATGTTGAAGACATGTTTTTGAAGCACAAATTGTGAAACTACTAATTCAACGTTGATTCGAGGGGGAGGGTTTTCAAGTTTTCTAGGGCACATAAAGTAGGAAATTTGCAAATATTGCATTTTGCCTCAGCAATTTTGTCTCAACGGTAGTTGAGTTGCTTTATTAATGATTCTAAATAAGCTTTCAGATTAGAGGGGCTGAGGGTTATTCTAAGTAAAATTTACTGACGAAGACATAGATCAAGAAGACTATAAGTGTTGTTTTATATATCAATAGGCGATTTTACAAACCAAGCTAGGGATTTTGTGGACCAATTGAAGATTTACCAACGAACTCATGTCGACTTTGGGGGTGTCATTTGTCTTTTGCAACGGTGAAGTGATGATAACAGATATGAATGTGAAATGAACTCTAAAAACAATTGAAATCAATTATAAATAATTTATTCTTTCCTTTAAGGTCCTTGTACCAAAAGATTATGGCGATTTGATGGGTAAAATGGTGGAAGTTGAAATTATTGAAACTGGAAAGCATTTCATGAAAAGCAGGTTAATGGAAGATGCTGAAATTAAAGAGCCTGGGCTCTCTAAACCACTTGAGAAAGGAGCAGTCAGTGGAACTATGGACGAGACGGTTTGTTGCCTTTAAGTGCCCTGGTTATTTTGGTTCCACCGTCTTAAAGCTATTTAGGTATTCTAGAAATTTCAAACATCAGACGGTGCCTTAATTTTTTATGTTTTGGTGGAATCAATTGACGGGGCAAGTAGTAACCTACCTTAAACGTTAAGACTAGATGGGGGGAGATGGGGGGAGATGGGGGGAGATAGGGGGATGGGGAGGGGATGGTGGGCCATGAAAAGTAAACTTTATCGATGCAGACATAAGAACAATTATTTTTTCCTACTGTATCTTCTGTCTTCTATTTTACCAATTAACGGTTTTGCTGATAAGTTGGAGATTTTACCGATAAACGTATAATGAATTCATAAAACATTGGTTTCCTGTCCGTAGGCACGGGATCTTACTTACTTGGTAAAGATTTTTTGTTCTCTGCAAAGTACTCATGTGAATCATGTGTGAATGAACCCAAACGCCTTTTGATATAACAATAGTTTATCCTGTGTTTGTCTTGCTTTTGCAATTTCCTTTTGTATGCATAATAGGAATAAATGTTCCCAGATCGCTCTTTCTCCCTCTTGGCATCTGGGAACATGTTATTGACAATACCTATTCTTTTCTTTTTCAGATCTGCCTTTTAACAAACAAACAAGCACCAAAGGAACTTCACCAAAACTGGACCTTTCAAGCTGGCCTTTTGTTGCTATTCGTTACGTTGGTATTCCGATTTCTTTATATCTTTATAATTGCTAAATGAGATTTTCAATAGTTAGTGCAAATTGATCGAGTTTGGACCTACCAGCACTTACACGGGGGTCAGTGTTCAATTCAATGATGTGATCTAGAGTAGAGAATTTACGTAGGCCATTATCAACTCCAAAGACCCATTTTTCGTGAAACATGTCTTCTATGACAACTTGCTTCAACAACATTAACTCCATGCTCACTACACAACTGGCATGGTCAATAATAGATGAAGAAAAAAGACATAATTGATTGATACATAAAATGTCTAGTCTTAGAAATTGCGTTATCTACAACTTAAAATAGAAACATAGTTTTGCATGTTTGGTAATATTTGAATTAGTCCATGGTTGTAACTGTGATATTTATATTATAGGTGAGAATAGAATGTCTTGAATTTTTTCAAAAAGGGTCTGAAATCTTGTTTGCTACGTTCCATATCAGAAGGCCTGGGTAGTGATCGCCGATTGTTCCTGGTTGTAGAAGTCTTTGTTCTGGTATATCACCAAATCCAGCGGCTCAATTTGATGGTTTTGTCGCATACCATTAAAATACATTGGTGAACTTTTCGCTTTTTGCATAATTCAAGCTCTGTTCAGCATTGTCACAACCGTTGGAAGAAAGCTTTCTAAGAAGCCATTATAAGAAGCCAAGAAATATTAGCCACATCCACACTCCCTCATCTAAATATTAAAATTGCATTGATCAGTAGAGATAACCATGGTGAGAATTACTATACGATGAAAAATTGTCCTATCTGTTCTCGTTTAAGTTCAGAATTGATTGTTATGCAAAAGGAGAGATTATTCACGTCAAAAACACATTTTCATGGCTAAATTTTGGGTGGGAGTCTGCCGTCAGCTTACTCAAATGGTTTCGTTGGCTAGACTTTTTTCACAAAAATATTGCCCTTGGCTAGATCAGTTTCTAGAAAAAACCATGCTCGTTGGCTAGATTAATTTCTTTTGCACCTTATAGTTTTGGAGAGAATGGTTTAAAGTCATGATGACTTTATAATGATTGCCCCCTTTGCAAAATTATGCCTATTTTCAAATCGATTTGACTCAAAACGATGTAAACAAATGTCTTAATTTCTGCAATCGAGGATAAAATTGATGCCTTAAAATTTTTGAAGGTTGTTTACGCAATTTCGATATAAAGAATTGTTTTTCATGTGGCGATGAACGTGGAAATTCCTGGAGATGTAGTGAGACCAAGTTGCTCCAGACAACGTGTTTCTTGATTCAAATTGAAAACATTAAAGGTTTTCATTTTTCCAATGTCATTTTTTCATTTTTGTTTTTAATCACGGCATTAATTTCGGTAAACTCTTGGAAAACCTTCCAAGTCTGTGGGAAATCTTATATTCAACAATTCAACGATAAAAGGGAGTGGTGATTGAAATATATAACGTTCATTACTTTTCTAGATGGTAGGACAGCATGCAAAGTCATGACATATGAATCCTTTCATTTATTTTCTTACATTCTCGTAAAGCTCAAATAATTCCCGAAAACATCTTTTTCATGACCAACGATCAAGCACTCGAAGAAACACCCGTTTCTGCTTTCAGCAGGTGATTCACGCCACCTTTTTTAACACTTGCCTCCTTAAGAAAGCATAAAGTGTTGTTAATGGCCAACACGAATGAGGATTTACCATATGTAAAATATTAGTTTATAGATAGGGATGGCATCTTCTCCAACTTTTTAATCAATTGTCCTTTGCTAGTGTATCTAACCCACTTTCAATTATATCAAAATCTATGTTACCGTTTCTCCTAATTGCCAAACCCATGGCTTTCATTGAAACCAATTTTGCTACAGTCTCTTTTCGTCATCATATCGTCAGAAAATATTCTGATTTTTGAAATGTTTCGCGTTAAATCTGATCCAGTGTCTTACACGGTAAGTAGTGCCATCTTCAAAAGATGCTTTTGGAAAAACGATTAATTGGGGTGGACTTGGGTAACTTTTTTCACCCAAAAGAAAACTCGGAGGCCAGTGAACTATATGAAACACTATTTATGGATTCAAAAAGCTTCGAAATAAGAGGGCATAAGGAAATTTTCACATACTTTAGGAGTAGAACTAGCCAAATACACACATTTAGACCAAATGCATTCTGTTAGGCATTATTGCAGTATTTATGCACAATGGATCATCTAACACATAACTCCCCCCTTCCCCCCCCCCCCCCTGATCCTTGTCGCTTAAATCCATCCTTGGACATACACTCGTTTTCTATAATTCACTAACCTCATGTTTCGCTAATTTTTGTTGAAATGCTAAAAGTTTCTTAAAGGTTTCTTAAATACCAAACGCTATAGAGCTAATTTTTAGCAAGACCTTTAACGTAAGATGATGGGATAACATGAAGAAGAAAACCTAGTAGGTCACAAGGTATTTTGTTCAATTTATCTACGCCAGCTAAACAGGAAGTTTGCCGAAAAGAATAATTTTCACCCAATCTTTAAAGGAAATATTTTCAAGCAGTTAAGATTGAGGGTGATCAGTGCTATAGATTCTTAGTTTTTTGGTCATCTTAGGGATTGGCTTCTTATAAAACCCAACGAGTGTAGAATAGTCAAAGATTTACAACCCATCATGAAAAGTATTTTCATTGTTGGTCTTATTTTTAAGGCCCCCTAATCTCTGCCCGCAACATATTTCATCGAATCCGATGGCGTAATCGAAGTTACACACTCACTTCAGTTACCAGGAAACAGTTACAATAAAACTAAATTGACATAAGAAACTCATTCATAATCACTGACTGAAGCTCATTCGTAATCAAAGAGGGAAGTTTAGTTTCTCGAAAAATCTCTATTGAGCTATGAACATTTTTACCAATAAGGAAGTTAACCAAACGGTTATTCAATATAGTACATAAAGGCCTAAGTCTGTTCGGATGTGACTTATATTATCGACGTCATAAACCCCAATGCCACTGCAGAGTTCTCAAAATCTGGAAATACGCAGACGTTTTTCATGACACTCAAAGTTATGTGTGACTTTTCTTGCCCAGTTATGAGAATTAGCAAGGATTATCGTGAACCAGTTTGCGAACAAGCCACGTGTAAGAAGTCATAACGTAAGTTCTTAAACAGAAATCCTCAGAAACCGCTTATCATCGTGAGCGGGTTTCGTTGCCTTATCTAAATATGCCATGTGCTTTTAAGATGACGTCAACTGCGTTCTTGTGCCTCGATCAGGAAGGTAAATCGACCTTTTGGTTAGCATGAAAGGAGATTTAGTGAAATATTTCGGAGAGGATATTAGTTGAATCAAAGACAAATGTTTCTTTGAAATACCCCCAGATCACTAGAGGCAAAATTTCAGCAACTTTTTAGAATGAGTTCGTGCTACTCAAGTCAGGGAAAATGTCAGCTGTGTAGTAAAATTTCACTGTTTCAATTGTACAATTGATGTCCGTTATTTTTTTATTATGGTTGTTTTGTTATGGTATTTGTATGTACCATTGTTTTATGCCGACATTTCCACGGAGCAGTTGGGATGCAATCAACTCTTCAACGTAGCTTTAAGCATCTCAAATTCCCTACAAACAGGGGTGCCGTCCTAAAAAGTTAGGAAGGGGGCCGTGATGTAGGCAACTTCAAGAGTCCACGCCCATGATTACAACATTACCACACCCAATATACTTGCCTTTGTGTTAAAGACTCTCTGTTGTGTGTAGGAATCATTCAAACTATTAAAACGATACAAAAAGACGCAACAAATATATAGTAAAATAAGGTTTGCCAATACAGAATTCAGATTAGCCAAAAGTTCCATCGGATTCTTCTGAATAAAAGTTGTTTTCAGAGGTATTTCTCACTGACGAAAACAAGATAAAATGCATAAAATGAACGTGCGACTTGTCAAAAGTGTAATCGGTCTACTTCTTGTATCATCAATTGTTTTAGATGAGATATCGATCTTGATATAAAAATCATAAATAGATTGTTCTTCTTGCTACTATGATTTTAGCGTTGTCAGCAAAGATTTCTAAAAGCTCCCATCAAAAATCCACTATTTTTATCAAAATGTGCAATTTCTTTAAAATTAAACTGGTCTATAATGTTTTCTTGTCGGAAAATCGTAGGCCTGCCCCCCCCCCCTAAAATGAAAGCCTGAATTTCCGCCACTGCAGATTGTCGACAGTAGGGCACGAATCCACAGGACATCGCACTGACTCCCATGGAAACCAGAAAAAGTGAATCAATTGTTTGTGCTTCACGCCATTACGAAACAGTTATAAAAGAACTTACCATAACCACGGGGCCGTCGCTACCCTCGGTGCGTGTAAGATTTAACTAGTTGGGAATTCGTGTGAGAAAGCGTGCCTAGCAACATCCACTGTTGCATTTACACAGATTCCTCTTAAAACATATCCGAAGATGGTCTATCAAAGTTATCAAGCAATAGTTTATCTGGAGCATTTTTTTTATTTAGATATGTTATGAGCATCAGGAATGATTCCGAATAAATTCACCCACATCCCTGACAAAAGATTAATCACTCAGGAGGCTTTAAGAAATAACCAGGACGGCTGTTTTCCTTTTCACCATTCTTCTGAATCTCAATCGATTTTTTATCGTGTGCCTATACATGACAAATCCCTCTTTTTCTACTGTGTTCTTTTCAACGATTACTCTCAACTGCGGTCGTTCAATTATTTGTATTATCTAAAGACATTTTCCAGGCATTCACCCCAGGAAAGATAGAAACCAAATTTCTTTTATGAACGTTGAAAATGTTCATCAAATATTTTATTGCAATGTTTATCAATTTGGTATACAATGTCTCCAACAAGACATCGTTTTATAGGCAGCATCAGGTAATCTCTTATTTAGTGCAAGCCCCTAGAAATTGCAACCAAATTGCAATCTACTTTAGAAAAAAGCTAAAACTTTCTGAAGACTATGTTAAACATGGCTTTGTATGACCAAGATAATATTAATACAATTGACACAGGTCCCTCGGGTTTCTGATAGCGTATTCTGAATTGCCCTCTTCATACGCCTCTATTTTCCCACGATACAGACTATCGTATGATATAGTACGATCGCTTGCCCTCGTTCCACTATGGAAACATCATAACAACCTGTTATTGCATCATCAACATATCGTCTAGCCAAGATATTCCACTGCGCAATAAGGCAATAATATGATATTAAAAGTTGTTGAGAAATTTAAACTTTATGCGGTTATTGCATATATAGATGTATTGATTGTGCTTGCATTAGAGCAACTGAACAAACTCTAATGATAAATAATAAACATTAATGTTTTTACCAACGCCCACTTTTGCACGTGTATCGTGACTCACATCGAATGATCTCGAATTCAACTTCAAGAGCAGCTGGTGTATCGTCTGGATTGAAAC